CATCCTCAAATACTGTATTTTACGGGCATAGTTAACATGTCAAAAAAATAATACAGAAATGATGTACACTTATCTTCATTAGTGTGGTATTTGCGCTCGTTTGGCTGTATAGAGTTACTCATATTCCACCATAATTCATATTGTTCGAAGATAATCTCTTTATCAAGTCTCCCCCCCCCCTCAGCAGCCCTTCGCCCCCCCTAGGGAAAGCTCCCTACAGGTTGGAAACAACTGCCCTCCGTAAACCAATTTCTTCAAAACTGGAATAACCCTTCAATCATGTACTCCTCCATCTGCCAGCGGTGTCTGTGTGATATTATCATTGCAATCTCATGCAGTATATTTTGATATAAACATAATTCTATCAGTATCTTGCAAAGTCGTCTAATGGCAGCACTAACACCTTGCCTTCCTTCAGCTGGTCGTGGCGGCGGCGATGGCCGTGGCCACAACCCGCGCCTGGCCCATTTCGCCTCTGGGGGACTATCTGCGAGGTAAAGTCATTTCCCATTTTCTTTGGTTGTTTTTTTGGGGGGGGTTATTTTTAGTATTTTCATTGGTGACTAATTACCCCGTTTTCTTGTATCATTATTTTCTTGATTATTTTTGTATTTACTGATTTGACTTATGTAAACATCTGCCTCTTCCTGTAGCTTCGACACCCTCTCCCTCCCTTGCCATGCCCATCCCTTAACCGCTTTCCCTTTCACTCTCGCTTTCCTTCTTCCTCCCTATCTCCCTCTTCTTCCCCCTCCCCGCCCCTTCCTGTCCCATTCACCCTCCTCCTCTCCCTTCCTTTGTGATAACAACCCTTTGCACTGTCGCAGGAGAAATAGAAAACCAGAATGTGACTTGCGGGGACGACCTCAAATTTTGGGTTCATAAAGATTCAATCAAACTGAACTTCCTCGGTTCGAACTCTCACCTTGGGATTCCCGCCGGGTGCTCCGTCAAAATTCGCGTCGATGTGGACGTGAGTGACACAAGTTACTTGTTCATGATAACGGGGTTGGGGAAAATAACTCTGTGTGTATGTGTTTTTTTTGTGTGTGTTTTCTGGTTTGTGTGTTTTGATAGTAATAATAATAGTAATAACAGTAATAATAATAATGATCATAATAATAATAATAATGATAATGATGATGATAATGATAATTATGATAGTAATAATGATAATGATAATAATGATTATAACAATAAAAATAACATTGATGATAAATAATAGATAATACTAATATATAATGATAATAATGATAGTGATAATGATAATGATAATAACAAGAAGTATAATAGTATAATAACAAAAATATTAATATTTGGCGGAAAATAGCACTCAAGAATCCCTCACCCCAAGAACTGAACGTCAAGACATCGAGATAACCACATAAACTTCCCTTTTCTCCCCCCCCCCTCCCCCTCCCCCCCCCCTCGACTTCGCCTTCATTTTTCCAGGACCTAAGTCTTGAGAAATACGGTCTGCGGTTCACGGGTTCGTACGACTTCAAAGACCCACTCAATGTCAACGATGAGTGTTCCTCTTCCAGCCTAACAATCACCGACATGGATGACGAGCAGGACGAAACGGGGACAAAGAATGTGTAAGGGAAAGATAATCGTGTGTGTGTGTGTGTGTGTGTGTGTGTGTGTGTGTGTGTGTGTGTGTGTGTGTGTGTGTGTGTGTGTGTGTGTGTGTGTGTGTGTGTGTGTGTGTGTGTATGTGTGTGTGTGTGTGTGTGTGTGTGTGTGTGTGTGTGTGTTAATTCATGGCATGTATTTCTTTTAATATTTTGATTGGTTTAGAGAATGAATTTTCATTATAGTTGGTTTTGTTCCTATAACTATCATCGGTGATAGTAATTTCTTTACCATTACCATCTGTATCACCCTCACATTATCAAGATACCCACCATCACCATCATCATTAACAATAAGCGCAAACATTTTTTTTTCTATGATCTCTCCAAAGCACCTGCGGCCACGGTGACGTCTCGTACCACACCTCGCAGGACTCGACTAACGTCCTGTTCCTAGCGGGTCCCCAGGGCGCCACTGGACTCGGCTTCAGTCTCTTGGTTGAGCCTCATTACCTGTGCGGGGGACATATCACTACAAGCACGACCATTAGCTCTCCTGACTATCCTGAGCCTTACCCGATCGATATAGGTTGTTTCTGGTACATACAGGTAAGGGAAGGGAACCGAATGTGTGTGTGTGTGTGTGTGTGTGTGTGTGTGTGTGTGTGTGTGTGTGTGTGTGTGTGTGTGTGTGTGTGTGTGTGTGTGTGTGTGTGTGTGTGTGTGTGTACATACATATATATATGCATATATATATTGGACGCGCACGAATGTATGTGTGTGTTGTGTGTGTGTGTATATATATATATATATATATATATATGTGTGTGTGTGTGTGTGTGTGTGTGTGTGTGTGTGTGTATATGTATGTATATATATATATATATATATATATATATATATATATATATATATATATATATATATATATAAGGCCCTTTGTGGCATCCCGAAACCTCTAACACTTTGATACTTAATGGTCTGGAAACTTCAGATATAATGAAAAAGTACCTGACTTTTATGCGACTTACATTGTTTATGCACACCACCCTTCGCTATGCAAGCACTATGGAAATTTTCAATGGTTAATGGTTAATGTTTTAAACAAGTACATTTGCTAAACATCAAAGGTCATATAGCACTGTGGTAAAATACTGTGGTAAAAGGAGTTTAAAGGGGTTCGTTATTAGAACAAAATGTCTTAGATTTCAACGACCATTAACAGTATGGTAGTGAAAGACGGGGAGTAAATGGGGTAGAATAGGGATTGATAAATGGGGAAAGGGTTAAGGATAGACGATTATTATATCAAATGGAAAGTATTTATACGTCTGTGGAAGGAGAATAGGTCAATTGAAAAGGCGGGGGAATCTGTAAGCATGTCGGGTAAGAGAGGACAAGTATGGGGAAGCGAGGATACGGGCTTCAGTAAAGCAAGATAGTTAAGCAGGATAGTAGGATATATGGGACTGAAAGAGGAACATTGCATGAGGTGTATAGAGGTGGGTCGGAGCGTGACATGTGGCATGAATCCGTGAGACGATTGTGACCTATTCTTAAACGGGCATGGGCAGTTTCCCAGCGTCTTGTTCTGGTGGTATGGTACCGACCAAGGAGAGATGGAAGGCCTTATGGTTTGTAGTTTATTGATAGTCAGAACAAACCAGAAAGGTCGCCAACGTTTGAAGTCGGTGGCTGGAATATGCGAAAGACATTCCAGCTACCACCACTACTGGACTTGTATCATGGATTGTATGAGTGATATTGAGTTGCGTGAATCGCTAAAGATGGTGAAGGATGAGAAATAGATGGAAGACATGTGTTGTAAAGCGGATAGCATGTAGTTCTGTTGTAAGGACACTCGATTCAGGAGGAATGGGAAAGTTGTACGTGCGAGAAGGAAAGACTACGGTACTACGAAACTAGTAACCGAGGTGGATTTGGAGCTGTCTGTATAGACACGGGTACTGGAAGTGACAAGAGATATGTGCAAGAAAATGTGTGAGAAAAACAGAAGGTGGATGTGTGATTTGGGTGAATTTGGGTAAGTGGAAGAGCAATTACAAGAGGAAGGTAATAGCCAGGGAGGGAAAGATTGGACAGAAAGAGTAAGGGATCGGAGATGAGGAACGGGTGAATGGGAAAGCTAGTTAAACGTGGGAAGGGGTTGAGGGACAGTTAGCTTGGAAAGAGAAAATTGGTGAAAACAAGCATAGATTCTTAGAGACATAAGGGCACGTCGAGAAAGGGATAGCACCATGATTCAGTATATAGGCTCTCAAATGTATTTCTCAGATTCAGATTTTTTTTCTTTTCGTATCCTCATATGGAAAGTGAAGTAATGTTGCTTGAAGTCCGAAATCAGACAACTGGGTAAGTTCAGTGTTCAGAGGCATTTACCTGTCGTAGTGTATGTAATATATCAACATATAAAGATACACCGCATTTCCTTTGATGTTTTGGAGCTTGTAAGATCAGAATGAAGATTTTCACCCTACAGAAGTAGGATGAATATCTCGGATACGGTCCAGTATCTGATGTACTGATAAAAAGGCACATAAACATTTGATGTGCCTTTATATAAGAGTCTTATGGCGTACTAATCGTATATGCAAAACTTGTAACACTCATATTACCCGGGAACAGACGTATCTGAAAACATAATATTTTGGATTTGACCGCGAGATGTTTGGTGAGGAGAGAACTGCGCGGTGTGGAGAGAACCTTTTAACAATAATGGTAATGAAAAGGACAGTGTCAGTGATTATGAAGACTTAATATAATAACGATGATGGTAAAAATAATGATGAATAATAACAGTGAAAGTAATGATTAATGTCATGGTAATAGCACTAATCATTATAATTGTTTGTTATAGTGTCATTACAGCAATCGTAACAGTAATAGTAATGACTATAATAAAACAATAATTATGTTACAGCAGCAAAAAGAAAAAATATATATGATAAGAAGAAAGTCAATAGTAATAACATCAAAATATGATAATAATGTAAATAATAATTATATATGTATACATATATACATATATATACAGACAGATAGATAGATAAATAGGTATATATATAAAGATATAGATATAAATGTATAGACATAGATATAAATATATAGATACATATATATAATACGTATATAAATATATATATATACACACACATATATGTGTATCATATATATACATACATACATACATATATATATATATATATATATATATATATATATATATATATATATATATATATATACATAATATATATGTGTGTGTGTGTGTGTGTGTGTGTGTGTGTGTGTGTGTGTGTGTGTGTGTATTTATATATGTATGTATGCATGTGTGTGTATATATATATACATATAAATATTTATTTTGATAAGTGCATACAATTCCATATATGTATTTTAAATCAATAAGTATGTTTTATTCAGTAAAGCCATTATCAATAGTAATGAGTGTACATGCCAATATTAATCATTTTACCTTCTCCAGCCTTTGTAAAATCACACAAGCTGTTAACATCTCATCATTAATACTCATTACCTCTTTACATTAACCAGGGTGAAGAGATAACACTTCGTTTTCTGGATTTCGATCTCTATCCGAAGAAATGCAACGACTTAGTTGAGGTTCAGTCTTTGCGAGGTGGCAATGACGTCTTTTGCGCATCGAAAGTGGATGGCAAAGTCAAGAAGTGAGTGATTGCTTGTTTTACAATCATTGTGTAGTTTTGGTATACTCGATGTAGGTTAGGCGATATTTCTATAACAAAATAGGGAAAGTGTTAACATGATTTATAAACAATGGATTGACACACATGATGCTAATGAACTTTTGTTGCATGGTTAATGTTCTTTATGTAGCAGTATTATTAGTTTTTGATTCCCACTTTTGCAGATACGATGGGCCAATTTATATCAAGTTCCGGTCTTCGAAACGGCGAGAGAATGTGAATAAAGGATTTAACTGCAAAGTTACTATCAAGTCTTCAAAGAAGAGTTTGCCAAATATTTTATCAAAGTTTTATGAAGAGTAAAATATCCTAATTTTACTCTTTTTAAAACACATTCCAAGGACTTCAAATGACACACCCAAAAGTACTAGACACACTACGCCATCATGCATTCACTATTCAACAATAAATTAAACACTGAACAAAATTACACTAAATCATGAAAATAAAGGTGTAATATACAAGTACACATAAAAGAATAACATGGCAAAAAAAAATAAAATAAAATAGAGTAATGTAATTTAATCATATTTAATCAAATATTTACAAGCACTTTTTTCTTTAGTTTTTTTTAACTCACATTTGTTTTGAACGTGTTAGAGAAGTATAATCTCATTGTGGAAAGATAAAGCGTATTAATATTTTGAGTGAACTGGCAACTTGCTTTAGGACGTAATGTTTATCCTGAATTCATTGGAATGATGCAGCCCCCATCTCTGTGTAACTAGCAATGGCACATACTTGGAACATTGTAAACAAAGTGAAAACAATAAAAATTCTAAATTGGCCGTAACATGTCTTTTCTTCCTTTCTTCTTCCCACATCCTATAAGTGCTCTCGAGCGAGGTATCACAGGTAGGAGCTTGCCACAAGCATAACACGTGACCGCGTGGAAGTACATTTTGGTTGCTCTCTCTCTCTCTCTCTCTCTCTCTCTCTCTCTCTCTCTCTCTCTCTCTCTCTCTCTCTCTCTCTCTCTCTCTCTCTCTCTCTCTCTCTCTCTACCTCTAAGAGAGAAAAAAGTGAAAGAAGTATGGACATGAGTGACGAGAGGGAGAAGAGGAAGAAGAGGGAAGCGAAGCAGGAAATGAGCATGTTGTCGATGTGTATGGCAGGAAACTACTGCTATTCCCACAGGACTTCGCCATGAGTTTCCTAGAGAAATTAAGGTTGGCCATAGAACTAGGCCGGGACAACCATTATTTCGAGCCACTTATGAAGGAAGGCAGAGGGAGGCCGTATCCCACGGTGCGGGCAGGCGAGGCGTAGCAGGCCCTGGCGACTCAGGGATACAAGGGGACAGTGATAATTTCCCCAAAGGCTGGGGAAAAAATCAGTAAAGTGATCATTTTCCGATACCCGATCATACTGGACCCAGACTTTCAGGTTGTGTGTGTGTGTGTGTGTGTGTGTGTGTGTGTGTCTCTCTCTCTCTATATATATACATATATGTAAATATGTATATATATATATATAGATATATATATATATACATATAAATATTTATTTTGATAAGTGCATACAATTCCATTTATGTATTTTAAATCAATAAGTATGTTTTAGTCAGTAAAGCCATTTTTAATAGTAATGAGTGTATATCCCAATATTAATTATTTGACCTTCTCCAACCTTTGTAAAATCACACAAGCTGTTAACATCTCATCATTAATACTCATTACCTCTTTATATTAACCAGGGTGAAGAGATAACACTTCGTTTTCTGGATTTCGATCTGTATCCGAAGAAATGCAACGACTTAGTTGAGGTTCAGTCTTTGCGAGGTGGCAATGACGTCTTTTGCGCATCGAAAGTGGATGGCAAAGTCAAGAAGTGAGTGATTGCTTGTTTTACAATCATTGTGTAGTTTTGGTATACTCGATGTAGGTTAGGCGATATTTCTATAACAAAATAGGGAAAGTGTTAACAGGATTTATAAACACTGGATTGACACAAATGATGCTAATGAACTTTTGTTGCATGTTTAATGTTCTTTATGTAGCAGTATTATTAGTTTTTGATTCCCACTCTTGCAGATATGATGGGCCAATTTATATCAAGTTCCGGTCTTCGAAACGGCGAGAGAATGTGAATAAAGGATTTAACTGCAAAGTTACTATCAAGTCTTCAAAGAAGAGTTTGCCAAATATTTTATCAAAGTTTTATGAAGAGTAAAATATCCT